CCGGCGCGCAGCCAGCAGAGAATCAACATCAGCAACTTGTCAAGACCGAAGCCAAAGGCAGCTCCTTCACGTTTGAGGCCTGTGACGAAAGCAAAGTCGGTTCCCGAGAAGCCTTCGCTGCGATCGTTGAAACAGTCCTCAACCTTCGCTTCATCCATGCTTTCGCAAGACTCCTTGAAGGGCCAGAGCCCTGTGGCCACGAGGCGCACGGATGGTCAACAGTTGAGCCTGATGAACGACCCTTCGCAAGCTTCGAACATGAGATCGGCCCCACAGAGCCCCAATGGTGAAGGTCATGAAGTTCTAGAACCATGAGACCTTTGATGCTTTTGAATGTGTGTGTGCGTGCGTGTTTTTGCGGATCCTTCCTTGATTTAGGACGGTAGCAGCCTGTGAAGGAGCATGGGGCATGGTAAAAGATGGTTTATTGAAGCAAAGATGGACGTGCAAGCCCACGAGGTTCGTAAATTCTGCTGACTCAATCCCTGCAAACATGCTTCAGAGCCAGTCGTAGTTCTCACGAGGGATGCAAAGCATGCCCTGGTGCCTTTCTTGTGTACAGCAGTCGTTGAGTGTGAACCGCGGTTTCACCACCGGTGCTTAGTTAGCCAGTTTGTGCAGTCGAACGTGGGCATCAACGTGCCATTCTAAAGCTGCAGTTTTCTGTGCATCTTGCGCCGAGCAGTCGAGCAATCTCACAAGCCAGAAGTCGCAGCAATGCCACAATGATGCCATCAGCGAATCCAAGATCCGGCCAGAGATGTATGCACCTGTGCGACTATCTAGAATTGAAAGCGGCCATCGCTTAAAAGTGCTGTGCTGCCCATCCCAGCCTGCCCCGGAAGAGTCTTGACCACCGTGCAGCAGCTTTGAGTAGTCGGTCTCTCCCTCAATCTCTTTCCCTTGTGCTTGCCTCGTTAACTACATATGCACGTTTATGCAACAAAGCATACCATGCATGTTCGGCATCTTGTTCGCGGTCCACCGTAACGGATGCTGCAGGAGTCAACGTTGGAAGATGCGCTGCAGACTGCTCTTTTCACAGCCCTTGGCTTCCGAGTCCAGAGCTTGGCTCCGGACCAGGACAGCGCCTGCTTCCTTCATCGCTTCGTGCGTCCAGGTTTTGGTGAGCCCGTTCGAGAAGGAGTCTAGGCAGTCTAGGCCTGGTGCCAAGGCACAGCCGGGCCCGGGCCGAATTCCTCCTTGCTCTTGCAAAATCTTGACTCATGGTCAACTTGTCACGCGATTGCGCAGGACAACTCGCCAAAGTTGCGGGGAAGTGCTGGCCCCAGTTTTTCGCAATTTCCTTGTGTTGCGTAGCCCTCTTCAGACGCTTGGAAGGTCCAGCCAAGCCTTGCTCCCGCCAAAGATCGCGCGGAAGAGGAGGCGGTCCAACACAATGTATCACCTTACCAGCGAGCAGATTCGAAGCAGCGACGAGGCCGTTCAAGCAGCAGCTCAGGCAAAAGCCGCAGAACACGAGGCTCGGATGCAACACTGCGTCTGATGCAGCACAGCTAGCGCTCAGCATTGAGCATGCAGGCCGCGTGAGGCGATCGTCTAGAGCAAGACAGTCCTCAACGTCAAAGAGCCACACGAGGCAACCAGTCCGTGATACTCAAAAGCTTGAGAGCCCTCGCTAACGGAGTGTACTTATCGTTTTGAGTCAGTTGTTCTACTTAGTCTGCTAGTTCTCTGTCAACCGTGATTGAGGCGGAGGTCGCGAAGTTCCGGAAGGCATTCGACCCGTCCTTTTCGCTCAACGTCGCTCAGCCCTGTGTCTGAGTCTAGGTCTGCACGGAGGCGACGCTGTGACAGCCCCAGTATGCCCTTCACTTCATCTCCGTTCACCGAGTTGGCAGCACTCTGAAATTTGTGCCTCAGGCGGCCGAAGGCATCATGATCGCAGGAATCGTTCCTCGAAGAAAAAGCACTTGATCGTTAGTTCTGCATCACAAGCTTGTTTCAGGTGAACAGAGCCTTCCGGGTGAGAGGTCAAGGGTCCTTAGACGCTGCGAGACCACATTAGCATGGTTCAATGGCCTTGTTACAAGCATTTCGTGAGATCTCGTGAGCATGTTGATGACATGAAAGGTGTTTTGGACACGAAGTGATTCCTGCGACCTTGCATCGCATTCTAATTGCTAGTTGGAGCTGATCTGAAACCGATCTGCAAGCCATGAAAGCTTTGGCGAGTAACTAGCATGGCCGACAGCTTTTCCTGCATTGAACCAATGCAAGGTTCCAGAAGTCGGGGTTCAAGTTCGCGGGGAAGGCCTGTCACCTGGCTTGCGGCTGTTTCCTCGTGTCTTGAACATGCCAAAAGGGCCCGTAGGGGCCGTCTTGCCTAAGCATGGCTTCTTGCAGCCAAAGGTAGCATGATTCTTTTTCGGAATGCAGAGAAACTTGGAGTACAAAGTATAACCGTTCGAAGAAAGCAAGAACTCTTGTTGTTTGAACTGTCTTCTGTCTTTGCTGGAATCTTGCAGGTTTGGTTCGACATGTTCGGATTCTTCCCAATCTGCACATCTTGTCTTGGAATTTGCTCTCTGAGTGTCGGTATCGGATGTTGTTGTTGTTGTTGTTGTTGTTGCCAACAAAAGGTTCGAGCCGTCAGGTGAACAGCGCTTCCTCCAAGCCCAATCATGTACTAAAGCTACATATTAATATAACGGGTTGCTCTCTGAGCAATGCACGGACACGGCGACTTCTCACCATCGTCAGAGGATGTAGACCAAATTGCATCAGAATCTCACTGGTTTAAGCTGCATACTCCAAGTGTCCGCGAAAGATGACATCTGCATCAGTGTGTCTTTCGTCAGGCATGGAAGGCAGCATCGTCGAGAACGCCATTCTGCCAGATGAACGACTGACTGTCAGTCGTTGCGCAGACGAAAAATGAGGCAGTCGTCGCTGTCGCGAGCTGAAGCATGATGTCTCTCCATGCATGTTGTGTTACGTTTTGTGTGTGCATGTGCCAAGATCCACTGCGCGGCTGTTATCTTTGTGCTAAAGTTGGGTGGGGGAAGCTGGGATCGTCCCATGAGAGAGCGCAGTTGCCCTGGACGAGATTAGGCATCAAAGTTCGTGAGCAGCGCTGCAAAGCAGTCGGCCAAGCCAAAACCAAGGCTTCAATCATGGCCGTGATAGGGGAAAGCTGTGCCTCGCTGACCCCGTACGGAGTTGACCACTCAGTTGCCGGTGATCCTTGCAGTGTGCAGATCTCGGGCGTTGATTCGGCTGCTGCGGCTTCAGGTTGGCGCGACATTGGCTCAGCTGGGTAGGGGTGGACTGCCGAACGACAAGAAACCCAGAAGGCTGGCCTGGTCAGATCCTGCAAGAGTTCATGTTCGATGCTGCGTGCTGAAATGAGCGAGTCGATGGCAGTAGACAGACATGTTTGGGCGTTCAGCCGACCTGGGTTCATGGTCCATCAGTGATCCATCAGGTCTGCCGTTCGTTTACATTTGTCATCAGGATTATTGCACCTGGGCAACCTCTGTTTGCATTGAGCCCCCGGTGTAAGAACGCACCCTTCCTTCCTGCAGGCCGGTCTGCATTTACGGACTGGGCTTGACCAGCGCTTTCGAGAGGCCTGTCTGCACCGACACTCTGGGCCCTGGGCATGACACTGTCATTCTGTGGGTTCGTGGGTTCTTCCACTGCGGAAGACCCAGTGTTGTCTTGTTGCGTTGCAAGCATTGCAAGCATTGCAAGCATTGCAAGTGCTGCGAGGCCAGCCACCGGCCCTTGCCTCGATGCGGCTCAGCGCTTTCCGTTTTCTGTGTGTTGATCAGAGGCCAGTCGAGACCGAGCAGCCCTGGACCACGTCTTACGACATCTCGATCTGCTGCATCCGTGAGATCGGGCTCAGTGTGCTTCTTACCTGTGACGAGCAGCTGCAAGCATCTGCAAGCAGGAGTTCCCTCCTGCACTGCGCATGATGTGTGGTGCTGCAGGATTCATCGCGGCCGCCCTCCTCCCTGTCGCGAACGCAACTGCATTGGTGCCGGGCTCAAAGCTAGAACTAGGGATTCAGCTGGTCAGCCAAAGTGATGCTTATGACTCGTGACGGTTTTGTACTTGGCTTGCAAGTCTTTTGGATGCCTCGTCGCGATGGGTTGTGGAGCTCACGTACGGGAACGACACTGGCAGCAAAGATGCTGTCTTCCGTTTTTGATGGCAACTAACTCTGTGCCGTTCCCAGCATCCCTGTTTGGTGAATGTTGGTGACCTTGGAAACCTGGTTGGCCTTGGAACAGTTTCTGTTTCTCTTGAAAGCGGAGGTTTCATCCGTGTGGCCAGAATGCTTGTGTGAGTCTGCAGGCAATGGCCGCGATACCGCGATACCAGTCATTGTCTCATTCGGGGCCGATCGTCTCGATGCTATGGCAAGCCTGGTTCACCGTATGGGAACCGGTCCAATCCCGTTCAACTGGAATCGACCGGTCACTCCGCTGGAGGTGGACAATCCCCGGTGGTCCTGGCAGCCTACGACTGTTGTGAAACTCGTCTTGTGGCCATCTGCTTTTGCCAAAACTTGAAAGGCCTCAAGTGGCAGCCGTTCCATTGCTGCCGACTGCAGCCATAGCCGAAGCTCTACGTTGTAGGTTTTGCACATCCACCCTCCACGGACCATCGCTGGCTATTCACGATTTTGACGTAGTTTGCGGTGTTCTCCACTCGGGAGCTGCCGTTCCAATTGGTCGGTATCAGGAGAGCTCGAAATCGTGTTGTTTCAGAAAACAAGTGCACATGCCGGCGAGGGAGAGGAACAAAACTAAGGCTTCCTGGGAACATCTGGGAACGCAATGCCACCTGTAACATTGAATGTTCATCTTCACACCTAACTGACACATACAGTTGAAACACTCCCCGATACCTGATGCTACGTAGACCTGCGCAATACTGTTCCAGAAAGTCGGCATCGGTACAGGTAAGGCCTAGCGGCCTAGCGTTGCCACGCTTGCGCCGAGGACCCCACAGCCATCGCACTGGGAATGGGAGCATTTGCGAAGTGTTCTGAACTTGGCATGAGGAAGTTCTGGCATCAGCGTGTTTCGAACGCACGTGTTGGTAGACATTTGGGAGTTGACAGTAAACTGAATTGAGATACTTCTCGCTGAGGTCCGAAGTCCAGTCCGCGAGCGGGAGGTGACCGAAACTGCCGCAATGCCCGTGTTGTACGGTGAGTTTAAGTGAATGTATACAGCATGCAGTCAACTCGTAAAGGCTAAGGCTAAGCATACGGGAAGGCTTGCCAGAGCGGAGTATCGCACTCGAGTCTTTGCATTCAACTAATCTTGCTACAGTATGGCTGGCCAGATGCTTCAGCCAGGGCGGGCCCTTTGAAGCCATTTTTTTCGATTTTATTTGTTATTTCGCGTCGTTTCCTGACGGGTTTGCTTTGCCACCACGATTAAAACTGCAAGACGCGGGTTTTTTGCCTGGCAGGTCGGGCGTGTGGCAAAAATTATGGGCGCATCAGCACTTCATGCGATCCCTGTCAACACTCCGCTGGGCGTGATGCAGAATCCGTAGCGGCCCTGGCTCAGATGATTCGTGTTTGCATCTTCAGACTCGTCTGACCAGGTACTACCGACGGACTGGCTTGATACACGGGGAATGCTAGTAGTGTGCCTGGCCACATAGCGGTCATCGGTGAATAGGAAGGTATTTGTCATGGATTGAACAGAAGGATACACGTGGTCTATATCCTTTCATCACGAATCGCTGAAAACGATTCCGTTTCACCGCTGTCATTACGAGATAGCATGCAAAATTATCATTTATCTAGGTCCTGAAAAATTCCATATCTCGAATGCAACTAAATCGCCCGTATATTCTGATTTATTAAGATAAAAGCTACTGATCTACGACATAATATAAAAAATACCTTGTGGCCTGCGCTCGCGAAGATTCATATAAAAGGGTATTAAAAAATATATATATATATATATATATATTCATTCAATTAATTAAATCTGGATAAGACATATTATGGATCGTTTCCTTCACATTCAATGAATTAAATCTAGACTAGGACAAATTTTGGATACTCTTCTATAATTTAGTTCTCCGACGCGTTTCTTTTTGAAGACCTCTTGCATGATTATCTCGCATGATTTAAAAATCCTGGCCAATTTAAGTCCGCGAGCATTTCGTTGTCGGTATTATTATCTTAGAGATTGTGCGAGCTTTCGGAAATCTCGTTGTACTAAGATTGTCTTCTGTATTTTTCTGGTCGCGGCTGCAGTGCGGTGCTTTCTGAATGTAAGTGTCTCTGTGTGTCTTTCTGTGTGTCTGTGTATATGTATGTCTCTGTATGTGTGTCCGTAAATCTCTATATATATATGTCAATATATGGGTCTCTAGGTGGGTCTCTATATAAATATATCTCTGGTTGAGCGCGGGGCGTCTTTCTAGATATCTCTATTTCTTTATCTATTTATTGCTCTAGTTATTTATTTATTTTATACGAGAATTTGTAATAAATGAGAGGTTCTCTTATATGGGATAGGGGAGAGAGGGGCGCGCACGAATATCTTTATTTCGTTGAGTATGGAATTTAAATCTTATAAAATAGTGATTCTCGTGTATGAATAAAGAAAAAGAGATTGTTCTCGTGTATGAATAGAGAAAAAGAGATTGTAAATGAGATTTTTTTTTCAAACTATTTTCAGAATATAATTTTATTATATATTCATAATTTATATAGCCTTCAAAAAAGGAATTTTCTTGTATGTGATAGTGGAATTAATTTGAGATTCGATCTTCTAAAAGATTATTTCTTTTTTAAGAATATGTGCCAGAATCTTTCTTTTACTATTTTAGAATTATAAATCTTTTATTATAATAAATTATATTATTTTGAAAGCGAGAATCGTTACTTGAAGAAAAATTGGGACCTAAAAATTTATAAAATGGTGATTCTCTAGATTATTACTATTTTCAGAGCTCTTCTAAAATTATAATTCTTATATATATATGCTAGATAGAGAAGAGACATATACGAAAACCATTATTGAATAATTAGAACTTAAATCTTCCAAAATAATGATACTTCTGCGCGCGAGAATTATTATATTACCATTTGCAGAGCTCCTCCAAAATAGCAATTCCCTTGTGTGTGATAATAGAGAGAGAAGAAATATGCGCGAGAATTATTATATTGAAATTTTCAGAGTTTAAATCCTTCAAAATAGTGATTCCCGCCATATGGGGTAGAGAGACAGCGGCTATAGGAGAATCTTCATTTTATAATTTTCAAAATCTAAAATCCTGCAGAATAGCGATTGGCCCGCATAAAGAGAGAGAGAAAGAGAACACGACAATCTCTATTTTATTAATTTCAAAATCTAAAATTCCTCCAATATGATTCTTGTTTTTGTACTAATAGAAAGAGAGAAAGAGTACGCGGCAGAATTTCTATTTTAAGAGTTCAGAATTTAAATCCTCGATTATCCCGCGCATGGGAGTAAAAAGAGAAGAAATACGCGCACGAATCTGTATTTTACTAACTTCAGAGCCTAAATCCTGCGAAATAAAGATATCTCGTACTAGAAAAAAAAGAGAGAGTATATGCGGTAATCGATATTTTCCAAGCCTAAATCCTCTAAGAGACGAGCGGCCCTTCCCCGCCACAGCCCCTCATAAGGGAGAAAAATTATTTAAAATAATTTCCTCTTCCCTCTCCCACTCTAAGCGGGGGCTTCATTATTTTGGGGGATTTAAGTTACGAAACCTTTCTCGGGAAAATCACAAATTTTGAAGTTATAAGTGATGAAAATTGCATACGTATTTAAAGGATTTTATTTATAAAATAACGTCATAACGATTTCTTATATCCTTCCCATCTTCTCGTGCCCAAATATATTTTCCGAGACCTCTAAATCAAAAAATTCCGTCTACAAATGCTTTAGCTCCAAGGAGCCGCTAATGTATTTTTCAAGGATTGGAAAACGTATTTAGAGGCTGCTTCAATTTTGCCGGTGCTCCTGTTGTCCCCGATCCCGAACCAAAATCGAGCTCCCAAGCCTCCAAACCCGTACCAAATTTCCCGAGGCCTCCTAAACGCATGTGGCTGCCGTTTCAGCAGATCTGGAAGTCCCTACCAAATGCTTCAGCTCCAGGAGTCCCTAACGCATTTTTCAAGGCTTAGACACATTTAGAGGTTGCTTCAGCTTTGCAGGTGCTCCTGTCGCCCCCTACCTCGAACCGAAATCGAGCTCCCTTATCCGCGAAACCCACGCAGCATGCATTTCCCGACCCCTCCTAAACGCATTTGGCTCCCATCTCAGTAGATCTAGAGCTCCATGCCACCCCTAAACCCGAAATTCCTGTTGCAAATGCTTCAGCTCCAGGGAGCCGCTAATGCATTTTTCAAGGCTTGGAAAACGCATTTAGAGGCTGCTTCAGCTTTGCCGGTGTTCCTGTGGTCCCCTACCCCGAACCGACAACGAGCTCCCCCCAAGCCTCCAAACCCACGCCACATACATCTCCCGAGGCCTCCTAAACGCATTTGGCTTCCATTTCAGCAGATCTGGAGCTCCATGCCACCCCTAAACTTGAAATTCCTGCTGCAAAGCCTAAAAACGCAGCCATCCACAAACCGCTCGAATCAGAATCTTTTGTTCAATGCCCCCATCTACAACTCTATCAGCTTTTCTGGAGTCTTCATGTGAGCCCAATGAGTTATTCAATGAGATTATTGCATTTTACACCTATCGTCTAGAGAAGAAATAAGAAATTCAAGATTATGCTTTTTTACAGGCCCAAGAAAATTATGTAACAAATCGGTGAGAATTTCGGAATTCGCCCGAAGGCAATAATAGAGGGTTGAAGCTCCATTCAAAGACTCTAAATAAGATATTCAAGGGCTAGATTTCTTATTCCTTGCTTCTTATAGGCCCAAGAGGGTTGTGCTGCAAATCGGCGAGAGTTTCGGAATTCGGCCGACGACAAGCAGCAGAGAAAAAGACTTGAATACAGAGTAGCACACTATATTAGCCGAATGGGGACGCGGAAGCGGTGGAGGATCAATAATCTAAATCGCCGTTCTCCAAAATGCAGTTTATCACCGCCCTGGGCCCTTTGTCCATATTGAACCCTGGACGGCGCCAGAGGCGCACGGTACGACTCCGACAAGAGACTCAGGGTATCCTAAACTTGGCGCATATCACTCCTGACCCTGAACCGAGCGCTATCTAAATAAGAAATTCTGGGTTCCCTGCCGCGAATACAGGAATAGCTTATCCAACGCCGTCACTGTAGAAATCACGAGATATTGTAGAGGTGCATACGTATAGTTATTTTAAGAAACTAAATATCTATCAACCTTATTATTGATATTCTGTGGAAGCTTGACCATGGAGTGATTGCCGTATTCTGGATTGAAGATCATCCTTGGTGCCTCCTGTCCGGGTTCCACTGAAGAGAGATGGAGTCAGTTCTCTGCCGATTTGACTGACGACTCCCGATCGGCCGGCCACACTGTCAAACTTCAAGGTTCCTGGAGCTTCATGTTTATGAAGCGCAAAATACAAACAGTTTTGCAGCCGTCCTCAAGTACCCACGGACAGCAAGTGCCATGACGAAGAAAAGTAATCATGGAGCCATGCACAAGCGGATTTTGATCAATTTTGCATCGGGAGCAGCAGATGGGTCCACAGCTCTTTGGTGGAATCGAGGCACCCGACCTTTGCATGTCATGTGTCTGAGGCGAGGAAGAGGACTGCACACAAGTTTGTAGCAATGTTCCTCGTACACGCGCACGGAAAGCTTGTCACAAAGGAATGGCCTTAAGTTTCAACGTCTTCTGCGTCGTGACCGCGGCCAAGTCTGGCCTGCACAGTTTCTGTGCGACAGGACCTCTGCAAGTGGTCAAAACACCCAATCCAGCCTCCAGTTGCGGTCTTATGGCAGCGTCATCTGGGCGGGTGAGCGTGTCGTACATGACCTCGATTATGTTTGGGAATCATGATCGAGCAATCTCCTAATAGGATAAGGATGCAGGCTCCATAGAGTGCGACCGTCGTCTCGTCAGCGGCCCTGGTGCACAGACTTGGTAGACTTGAGCAGTTTCAGCTTTGGAAGCGCGCCTCTTCACTCCCGCGTTCGCCTTCGGCCCTCGCGTGTAATCCTTCAAAACATCGGCGGAAAACTTGATTGTAAGTCAGCCCGGAATCAGCCTGAACTGCTCGCATCATCTCTTTGAGTCCCTTCTCGCTGGGTTCAAAGCCGAACCTACAGAGCAGTGGCACCAACAGGTATCTGGGAGCAAATGCCAGGCTTGAGTACGGTGCTTCTCCAAGACGGGCTTCTGCAAAGGCAGCGCCTAAGTTGGCCAAACCGGATGCCTGTGATCAATTTGTCTCGCGGCTTTGAGGCCGCAAGTCTCGATGTACGTAAGTCCGATGCAACGTTCGCGAGATTCGCGAGGAAGGGGCGCTGGCAACAGGGAGGAACGCTCTGCGAAACCCACCGTTCTCAGAAAGTTGCTCAGTAGCCTACTATTCAGACCATGCCGAAACAACACTCACATCCGGTCAGCATACTACGTCGACGCCGTGGGCACGACGGGGCTCCTGAAACTTCGAGCACCCTTGGCACCCATCTGCAACCAACATGGTGCTGCTGCTGCTTCTCTCTCAGCAAACTGCACCTCTCAGCCACGACGGCAAGGCACAGCAACCGACCCACGACAGTGTCTGGACGAAACTTTGTCAACCCGCCGAGGCCGTTTGCGGGGAGCGGTGGAAGCAGGCGACATTATTGATTGGAGGTCTCCCTCTAAACACTCTCGTTGGAGAACCAGTTAAAGCCACGCCTGCTAACCTGTCCAAAAACTCACATGAAGGAGAACAATGCCTCCGAACTCAGCTCGGCCACAAAAGGTCCCGCCCGGCATTGACAACTGCAGCATCCAAGGATTAGGCAGCAAGATTGGCAAGGCAAGAAGCCCGCAGCTGTCTGACACACTCGAAACAATCTGAATCCTTGGGCTGGCTGTGGCAGGATGCTCACATAGAAACGAACTCTCCACAGGCACGGTGGCCTTTTCGCCTCGAACATCGCGTGCAAGCTTCATGACCTCATCACTCGGTCTTTCATACCACTCTGCAGAAAAACAGATTTGCAAGCTAGCCTGCTTCTGAAATGTGGAGTCTCTGTATGCATCTCGCAAAGCGTGTAGCAAATCCTGCAGGACATTCAAGCTCCGAATGCATGTAATGCTGCGACAGATGGCGTCTTGCTCGAATCGTCACCAAGCACCCACGTGGGCTGTCCACTAGCCAACAGTCTTCACCACGAAGCCAACACGAGGGCTCGAGAGGCAAAGTCATCACCACTTGCCTTTTCGCGGTAGGCTCTGTTGCTGTCGTGTGCGTCCATCTTTGAATGTGCCCTTCCATCTTGTCGCGAATGCTTCCACCTCCGCAAATGGGCTTTTTGTCCGGTCCATCAATCTGCCACCAAATGCCGACACTACAATTGGTTTAATCCACACGGCAGCATTCAAGTGATTTACAGAACGACTGACTACTGCACAAGGAAACTCAAATCGGAAAATTGGCCATCACATAGACGACTTGCTGTACCTCGGCCAACTGGCAACTGGGTGTTTCTCTAAATTAGGTAGGGTCCCTGTCCATGTTATACACTCTCACAACTCCGGACAAGACAGGCGAGGATCCATAGGTGCAACTCGGCGTGACACAAACTTCAGGCTACCCAAGGGAGCCATACTATTTTGGGGATCTAAAACGGGACCCTAATTCAGAGAACTACCCAAATGGCAATCATGATGGTCTCGGTACCCACAATCAGCAATCAACTTAGTCCTAGCAGTCATGTTCCCACGAGTTGCAGAGTTGCTACACAAAGGGAAGCACAGCAGGCAAGGCTTTTGCCAAACACAAAACCGAAGTAATTGCAATGACAAGAAATGACCAAAACGAATGCCGCACACAGAAGCCGCACCGGTCTGGTTCCAGCTTTGTTTTTCATCGCTACCAAAGCCGGAACTATTGACGTGACCACAAGTTTCCGGTAGTACATGACTGCTACTGCAATTGATCATTTATCTCGTGTGCGGTGTGCAATGGTTTGCAGGACTGCTACACGAGGAAGACATATCCGTAGACTCAGAAATCAGTTACATTTACAATAATGGATAGCAGCCGTCGAAAGGCTGCTACACAATAGTCGAAGCGATCTGTCGAGAACAGGACGAACCGAGACATACATGCTCGTCGAAGCCGTGCTGGCTGGCGCACAGCACTGGTGTTTGGGCCTTCTGCAAGTTCGACAACAAAGTAAAACGTATCTACGGCCTTCGCACAAGCTCTCTGCAGAACCCTATGAAGGTTTCTGGGTTCACAACCTGTGCAGGAAGGATTGATCAGATTAGAGCGAGATAAAGCTAACTACATGAGGCCGTGGGCCCCACATGTACGGATGCGACTGGTTACACGCATGGATACTGCTTGAATTACGTCTTTGCTTGAACCATGGCGCAGCACCTGCTCGCTTTTTCTGTACAGGAGAGTGGGACAATCAAATCTGCTTGTTTACTTGCTTTCTTTCACAAGGCAACGTGTTCCTTTCTAAAAGCCTTTCTTTCAACCCTTAGCAACAACTGCGGTCCTTTGCACCTTCTCGCGTCAGGTGTTTACGGTTGGAATCCTGACCACGGGCAGTGCAAACAGTCCAAAATCGATGTACTGATCCGCCGGCCTGAAAGATTCCATTAGGTGTCGGCAAAGCTCTCCGCTGCCTGACATGGTGCCCCCGAGCATTATCAAACCCACTATGACGGCTAGTTGGTCCGCGGCAAGTCAAAGCTATTGCATCTCAGTGACTCGTCTGACTCAAGCGAATCCTTTGCAGCTTCCTCCTCATTATCGACCTGGCAAATGTGGTTCTGCACTTCAAGTTCCAACCGCACCAACGTCACATACCAACCCATTGCACCTGACGTTCTTCACTGAACACGCTCCTGGATGGGCTGAGTACTGTGACCACTCCACAACAATGGATGCCATCCAACATGATTGCTGCAAAAACTGAAAGGCTAGATTGTGGCCTGCCGAGTGCCTTCTCCATCGTTCGCTTGAGTGATGCCTGTTCCTGGATGCCCGAGAAGATGCTGTCTTCTCTTTGTGATTTGTGCCGATTGTAAGGCAGCTGCCCGCTCGCGGAGGGCCTGCAGCTTCTCACGCTTGGCCTCACTTCACAGCACAACAAACACACCCCTGCGTTTCTGGGCAGTGGGCAACGGGCCTGGGTGTCTTTTGCTATTCGAAGGCGATCCGGTCGTCCAACCGAACATTCGTCGATCTTTTGCAAGCATTTCTCGGCCTGCTCGATGCTCGCATCTGCTTGTGTGCCTTGCCTGCCTCTTGTGCTAAATTTCACCTGACGGATCTGTCCAGTCCTCATCCAGGCTTCCCAAGCCTTCTAGGGCACATGCTCGTCGAAACCATGCCTGAATACCAAGCATTCTCGAATCCATTCACTCCAAGACTAAACGCCAGCTTTATGCCTTGTGGTCTTCTGGGCACAGCTGCGTCGCAAGTGTCGACACCTGGTGATGGGTTTGGCACTCGGCGCACGATGCATACTTGCAAAAAAAATACTGGCCTTCGTCGCTTCGTTCCAGTACCCAAGCTTCATGCTTGCCTTTCAGACACAGTCTGCGGCTGAAGTGGTCCGATCACGTATCCTAGCTTGTAATCGCCAATCCAACATTGCAGCCTCGCCTGTGCCAGGTTCTTCAGGATTGCTGTATGAAGTTCAAACAGCAGCTCGTTGGTCTCCTTATCTGCGGCCTGTGCACTTGCGAGAAGTAAAAGCATCTTCTTCGTAGCATGACATGGCCTTGAAAGGACGGAGGGTTTCATGAGCTTGCCTGGCAGTGAGACGATTGCACAATGAAGCCGCAGCATGCTACCAGTAGCGCGGCCGTGGGGGGAACGGGAACGACCAAACTTGGTGGAGGAGGCTGTCTCTGGCTTGACCGGTGTAGATGTGTGTGTAAACACCTCGACATGGTGAACAACTTTTCGTGTGCTTGAAAATCTGCTGAGTTATGCCCAACGAAGTCAAACCACGGGAGTGGATGCAGTGGCTGATCACCACAGTGTACTTGCCATTTGTGACATCGTGCATTATCTTCGCTGTGCACACCTTGAATAATAACGTCCTCCACTCACGGTTGTCAGCCCGTGAATGCACTCGACTCGCAAGTACAAGCAAATACTAGATGACGAACGCCTGTCAGCTGAGCATAGTGGAACTCTTGGTTCGATTTGTTTAGAACTGGGTTGCGGTGTCCATTTCCAAACTCGTACCTGCCGATGTGCTTCGGGGCAGGAGAGCAAAGCATGATCAACGCATTGAATGTTCTTTTCATCACCAGGTGGTTTTGCCCCCATCGCGTGATCATAACGCAAGCCATGCCAACCGCACTGGCGCGGTGCGATTTCGGTGTAACCACCGACGCAAGCAAACCTAGCCACAGCACCGTGGTTAAACCAACGTAACATCCCTTCGAGTGACTCCTGGCGGTTTGCATGTGGGTGTTGTGTTGTGCAAGTTGAAAGGAACTGTGGTGTCAGCACATCTTTGCTCGGCGCACGTGATATAAGGAAGAACGCGATCCTCCAGAGGCGTCAGTTGGAATAGGGCATTTTGTGTGTTTTACAGTGGTTTTGAGGACATCATGAAGCAAACTTTTAGGCCTAAGGGAAACTTTGCGTGGGTGACGATTTGACACTTATTAGCTTGGACGGGCAGTGGAGTTCTGCAGAAACCCATCGAAGAACAAATCATCAGCATTGGTATTGCGCAACGAGGCCCTGCTCCGGAAGATATCCTTGTATAGAATGTGTTCAACATGATGTCAACACCAAGTACATAGGATCAAGAAAGAGCCCCGTTCGAAAATCGCATCAAAGCAAAAACCATCAGCATAAGGATTGCCCAAAAATGGCCCTTCACGGCTGTGATCCCTGAATACATGACCGGTAATAAAGTTTCGTCGCATCCACTAGAGACACAAAACGGAGTACGCGGAGTACAAGCAGCGAGGAATACCCTAGCCTGGCTAGCGGAGGAAGCACATCCCGGAACGAAGCTATAGTACTATAATTGTTTCGGCGGAGGACCTGTCGAAGAGTCTGGGAGGGAAAGGGGTCTTGGACAGGTTCGGTGTACAGGAACGACGCAGGGTGCGACGAACTTTCGGACCGGTGCAGCGTGGATTCGGGCCACTCTCGTCCAGCAACAATGAAACAGCCTCACAGCCAAGATGTCTGCCCATGATTGCCCATGAACATGTACATGGCTCCCACATACACACACACACATAGATCTAGAGCAGACATGTACAGGTGTGTACATGTGTGTCTACATACGTCACGTGCATGAGCGTCTCTTACGGCGACGTTTTGAGTCTAAAACTCCTATTTATGAGCATGCCCGGTAGTAAAGTTTCGTCGCATCCGCTGGAGACACAAAACGGAGTACGCGGAGTACAGGGAGTGAGGAATACGCAAAAATTATGCTACTATAACTGTTCCGGGCGGAGGACTTGTGGAGGAGTCTAGGGGGAGAAGGGGTCTTGGACAGGTTTGGTGTACGTGAACAACACAGAGTGCAATGAACTTTCGGACCGGCGCAGTAGTAACAAAACCTATGGGATAGACACGAAACGATTGGAAAGGCAAAGCTCCATAAGATCTGTTCCAGATATCCTTCGCAATGTGTGGATGCACATGCGCCGCACACCCTGCGATGAAGAGACAGTGGGAAAACAGCAAGACCACATTGGTTTCTTCAACACGGTGCCTCACAGTCGAATCGTGCAGGATGTGGGGTTTTTGATTCACAAGTATTGCCTGGGACAGAACGTGTCGTTGAACTCTTTGCTACAAGTGCATTTGAATCAGAAGGGGAGGGTCAATCGAGTCTTCCAAGGAAAGTGCAGAGCCAAGGCACGGCAGCACCGCCAGGTATGCATTACAGACCTTATCGACATGACACGGTTTCTACTTGCTCACAGTTTCTTCAGACTGGGCAGGGAAGTGTATCGTCAGCACCTGGGGGCAGCCATGGGTTCACAATGGTCACCAGTGGTGTGTGTGGTGGTGGCGACCACCAGGGAGTACATGTTCTATTCGTCCCTCATGGACAATGTTCGTCTAGGCGACACATTCGGGCCATTTCGGCACAATGCTCGTTATGTGGACAATCGATATATGGTGTACTCGCCCGGAGCTGAAAAGCATCCGCTGTTTCCCTGATGCACTGACCTCGAATTTTACTCTCGCCCTATTCTGCTCGAGGAAGTGGCCTCCAGTGAGCTGCTGGGTTTAATGTGGATTGGCAACATCGGACAATCACATTCCTTTAGCCTTCTGCCTTGTCCAAATTGAGAAGTGTCAATTCTGCTGGGCCCAGACGCATAGGCATCGCAGGTTTTCATGCTCGAGCACTTACGATTGCTCGACTGGTCAGACCCAGACGCTTGATTGCTGCTCAACTATCGGATCTCACGCAGCAATACGTGTGGAAAGGCCTCATGTTGTGTGAACTTATGCCCATCCTGGCCCGATTGGCAAAACAGTTTCAGATCGCAGAGCTGACAAGCACCGTGACTCTTTCGGTAGGTTGATCCTTTTGTGTATGCAATCCTCCAAGGTATGTTTCGCCTTGTCTCAAACAAGGCTCTCGCTCTTGCGTGCCACAAAGTGCGACTGCAGGTCAGTAGACAACCCCGCGCTTTTGATAGTAGTGCATCCAACTTCAAGTTACAGGGATGCCACCCGCCACTTTGTTACACAGCGTCTCGGCCATCCACCTTAGTCCATACGGACGTATGTTGCGCGAGGCAGGGACGTCACCCGCCATTTTGTTACGTCGATTCTCGGCTTCTATATTCATTTTCGCCCATACTACGTACTGACGTCTGTTGTTTGCTTGGTACGAGGCAAGGTTGCCACCCGCCACTTTATTACGCGTTTTTCGAATTTAATTTTTACATTTTTTTTGCCATTCAACCATGCTATGCATGGATGTATGTCCCAGGCTGCTGGCCACCCGCCACGTTGTTACGAGGTGTCTTGACCATTCTCTTTGGGGTTTAGGTTGTAGGATTCACCTTTTACTGCATTTCGTTCGACACAGGGATACTATGTTGACGGAACTGTTGTCGTCCATCCGTTTGTACACGGACGAATGTCTGTCTGTATTCTCTAGGACATACCACTCGCCACTTTGTTACGCCGTGCTTCGGGTCCTTGTGTATGTTGTTTGGTTCTTTCCTGGCGCCTGATGCTCAGTCAGCCTATTGACTACATGCAAACATGCTGCAATTATGATCGTGTGCACAAGTTTGCCCTCGCTTACGATAATGTATTTGTGAGAGTGAAAGTAAATTAGAATGCTTCAGTCCATGTGTGCTTCGCCATGAATTTTCTACTGTTACGTAAAGATGAGGCATCCATATTATTTGAGTTGTTTGTTGTTTTTGTAGCTTTTCGGATTTACCGAAAGTGTTTACCGAACACAGAATCGTATCCTTGACAGCGTAGCTTGCAACCTGTCTCCACAATGGCTACCCATGCACGGGTTCTTCGATGTGAGTGCGGGAGGCGCTACTCTTGCAGCACTTCAGAAAGTGCTCGGGTTACGCATCATAGATGTCGTGCAACACACGTCAGTCATGCAGATGTCATTCTCCATGATGGAGAGATCAAAACACATATTAAGTATGTTGTGGGTGATCCTGTCGCACAAAGATGGGAGACACAACGCAACTACCTTGCGTGCGGAGCTCCTGGAACGAGGGGTTGATTCATCACTCTTACTTGTGAAGCATGGGTTCATTCAGTCTCACGTTGGATGCAATGCGTCGCACACTTCCTCGCTACAACACTGAGGACAATCCGATGCGTAATGTGCCTGGAGTGTACAGCAAGATGCCATTTTACTCATGTATCCGAACTACTCCCTTCGCTTAACGGCAAGAAGAGGCAGCCAGTCAAATGGATTGGGTATAGGAAATTTCATGATCCTCGACCGCAACGCAACCGCCATGATCATCCAGTCGTTGAGGGTAGCAAGATGATTGACTTTCTGAGAAGCTCGTTGTCAAGGGTTCGGAGGCTTCAGCTCAAATCGAAGCGGTACAACCATTTGGACATCTGGCTCAGCAAGACATTGGGTCCCAATATATTTATATTCCAGAACATTCTGTCACTCATTCTTGCAAGCATGCATCCGTTTGTGGAGGCAGCTCTGTAGGCCCAGTGGTGCGGGAACAAGAACACCCCGGAAGACTCCCGAAACGCCGCAAACAAAGACGTTGAACGCCGCAGACGATGACGTTGAGATTGACGTAAATGATTGCTGCTGGGATTATTCCCACCGCTCCTACACAGGTACTCGTAGGCAGCCGACAGTGATAGTCAGCGCAAAAGAGCATCGATTTCGTTCTGCTTCCGTTACTTTCAGTTCGTAGCGAAGTAATATATTGGCGGTCCCATTCATGTTACCCGCCTCTCCGTAGGCGGTTGTGTGTGTGAGCACCCCGACCCGGCACTAGGGGGAACGGAACTTCCATTCAGACGTCGCATGGCACTTGCAGGGGGCAGGAGCACGGCCATGGGTCTCCTGCTAACAAAGACGCCCGTGGTTCGTGGTGAGGCAGTTGGAGACGTCCAACTGTGTAGCTGCAGTGATTCGTGATGTACTGCATTATCCTCGCTGTTCATTGTTACCGTCATCGCTGTTGCTTGAACCACTTCTACGAGAGCAGCTTGTCGACAACAGCTGAAACCCTGACAGGTTTCCCAACTGCTGAGGTCTGTACTATTATGACTCATGACCACTACCGGCGACATTCCATCAGAACACTCCAGTGTGTGTGTGTGTGGCCCTACTGATGCCGGAAGGGCTGGCATGGCGGCGGGGACCGAGTAAGGCACAAAGTAACCGAGTAAGGCAGAGAGTATTGCCCCCGGAACCAGCATCCAGCAGTCTGTGCCTCCAGCTGGCGCGGGCTTCTGCGTAGTTCCCCTGCTCCCACTCAACGAGGCCATCCTGATTCGAAGCGGGCAGCGGCTCGTTTGCAACGCACCCAGTTTGTTTTTCCTTCTTGCACTTCTGGCCCCAGTTCATGATCTGCGCGAGCGTAGTGACATCTGCCACTCGTCGTTCCTGCATTTCTGAAGAGCTTGGACCCCACTCTGATCTTGGGTGTGGCTTACACACAACGTGCCTGCTCTTCTCCGTCCTTCTTCTCCTGAGCATCAAACGCCAGCAGCCTCCAAAGAAGGTGCAAGTCGTGCAAACAAGCAGTCATCTGGAAAACGAGGCTGCCAGGTCCTACCTGCGTACAACCGCCTTCACACCTTGTGCTTTGACACTCGACTCCTCTAGCCGAACAGGAGACGACACTCCAGAAATAGTCAATTTCAACCCACCTCCATTCCAGAACGGCGATTCGACTTGAGGCGGAGCGAACGTGCGAAGAAGGTCGCCGGCCTGGATCGAGCGTCGTACTCCTGAAGCATCTCGTCAGCTGCCTTACTCACGCTCCAGCACACAGGGCACATTCCTTCCCAACGAAGGAGCCGCCCGGCCTGGTCACCCTTGGCATCTATCCGGTCTCGAATTCCCCGGAGCACATTCAAGTTCTCCTGCGAAGGGCTTTATTTCGCAGATGTTGTGCGGTATGCACCATAAACTGATTTCCAAAACGACCGATCGAATTGCACAATGCTTCTTCTGTGGAACCAGCTCACAAGTTGCGCGAGACAGCAGACAGGAACAGTTCAGCCACGGACCTCCATACTGAGGGGCAAGACAAGCACTTTGGTGGGTGAGGGGGCTTGGTCAAGTTCAGCTCAAACCAATATTGTGTCAGAATGATCACTTGCAAACGTTGAGCTGCTGTCCTCATCCAAGAGCACTTCCTCGAAAGTCCTTCTTGTTTTCTCGGCCTGCCGAAAAACGTCCCCTTTTGGCAGTAGACTGGATACAGTAGCGGATAGTAGCGGAATGCCTTCTCAAGGAAACCAATCAGTACATTCATCGTGATGCTGTAGTGCAGAATCGGGGTGACCAAACGCTTGACATCTGCGGGGCTATCCTGCAGAGTCTGTGTAATGTCAATGTCGCAGCGCCACTCGTTTGAATCATCCGAACGCTTGATGTCCTCGAGCAAGTCAGAAAGCAGCTCTCGCCGCTGGTTCATGTCCTTGACCTGTGAAGCGAAGCATAGAAGTTTCCCTGTGCTGGTCTACGATGAAAGACGTCCTACGGAATCCGAGCGCTGAGAGGAGAAGAAACACTGAAAGGCGCTAGCCTGCTCAAACTGCTTCAGCCACACCTGGAGGCGGTGTCGAGGACACCAGAGCAATGCTCACAAGAAGTATCAAATCCCTAGTCTGAGAGGCATTCCTCTCTACGGGCATTCCAATGTTGCTCTGTGCGGAGGAGAGCCTCTGAAAAGCATTAGCCGAAAGGGCTCAGCGTTCTTGCAAAAGCTGTCCCAGGCCTTATTGAATGGTCTTCGAGCTGCATGATACCAAAACTCTGGATCGCTCTGGTCGCGATTGAGGTTCGGATTGTGGCGTGGATCAGTACTGGCATTCAAGGTTGCGACCGCAGTGAGACAACTACAAGTGCAGCACAGCATAAAGCACCTGTCCAGCTGGAGCTGTTTCCTGTGCCACCTCGCCAAGGGCAGCAAATCTTTTTGGATGAGCATGTCTGCAAGCAAAACAAGACACATCTACGCACTGTTCTCAAACAAGAGGCTCTCGGTCTCTAAACTTTGGATCCATCTGCGGATATCCCAGATCCTCACACGCTTAAGGGCAGCCCATACGTGCAAAAGGCAATTGCGAGTTGCTGAGCTCTCCCTGTACTCATCGTCAGAAATCCAGGTGGGCATCAGACTTGCAGCCTGGCCGGAAGAGGAGATGCACTCAAGCAAACAGAAATGCTCTCCAAACCAGCCTTGGGTTCGCTTGACAAGTGAGCGACGGCTGCCTGCAAGGAGCTCTGTGCCTGGAAGGGACCAGTTGACTAGTCTGGTCTGTACAGCACAGCTGGTGCCATCTTTGTGCCTCTGCTTGGGCATCAGCCATCGCCCGGCTCGCCTGCAAAAATACGATCTTTTCCTGCCTCCAGCGAGCTACTGCAACAGAAGGGTTGGCCTCTTTGGCTTTCTCCAACTCGCGGCGTGTGGCATCCTGCAGTTCCAGGCCGGCGAATTTGCAGTTTTCGTCGTGGTTCTGACACATGCAAAACATCGCGAAGCATTTCCCGTCGCAGCAAGGAGCTGTGCTTCGTGAGTTCCGTCCTGCGCAGCCCTGCCTGCTATCGCTTCCAACTTTCGGGCAGTTTCCTGCACAAGCCCACAAAGTCCAACGCCACAACTAGTGCTCAGCCCAAACCAGCAAACTGCCTCGTCGAAGGCAGCACCGCCTAAGCCTCAGATCCAGTTGTTGCAGCGATACTTGCCGCAGTGGTTTGAAGATGTTTGAAGGGATAAGGCAGGCGCGACTTTGTTGCGTTGTTCTCAAGCTGATGCCACCATCCTGAAACCGGGCAAATTCACAAACTGTCTGGTGCAGAAAGCACCACTAGTGCCATGATCTCTCAACAACGTGCAAGCCTTGGCCGGAGCACTTTGCTTGGTTGAGAGCTGCGACAAAGCCTCCTGGCACATCTGAGTTTACGGAGCATGCGGAGTTTAGTTCGGACATGTCCTCCTTAGCTTTCAAAAACTTCTCGTGCTTCACCAGATCCTCCCCACTCAATTCCTGGGATGCACCGTAAGCCATCCACGCACTGCTGGGAAATCTAAAATCGGATTTCAGTGCTGGAGTTTCGTCAAGCTCCTACACTGGTTCTTGTCAGATTGACCCGGGCACTTGTTTTACACGGCATCGGCTGAACGCTAAGTAAGTCCGCCACATCCTCACCGACGATCTTCTTCAGAAGTGCTTCTCGGAAGGCCTGCTGCTTGCATGCTGGTGCGATGGCCACGGAATTGTACTTTCCTTCTGTCTATCTCGCGGTTTCTCATTCGCACCGCATCTCGTCATGCTATACAGGATAGCAAGCCTGCGAAAAGCTAATGCTTCGACCTGCAGAGTGGTGAAACTGTACTTCCGTTCTCTATCCGATAGCTGCCAGCCCCATGTTCGAAACTATTCCCTGCACTTTGCATGGCTTTCTCCCGGCATTTTCTGTTCGTGCAATCCGAATAAGGGCTGCATGTAAACAGCATCACCTCAACGCCATGGATCGCCATGGCATCAGGAGAAGTTGTAGTGCTTCTTGATCGGTTTCTTCACATCCCAAACACAAGTCATTCCATCCGGAAAAGTTGCAAGGTCCCCTGCCTCGATCGTGGCGGGATCGGCGTCTGACCACTCTCCAGTAGGGGTCACAGTCACCTCACCCTCCAGAATGTATGCAGTCTCAGTTCCACTGTATTCCCAGTCGAATTTCGATGCGCCGCAGCCCCAAGTTGGCCAGGAAGAGACGCCAAGCTTCTTGTCAGCTTCTTCCTTGGACATCTTCTCAACTTTAATGCCCTTCTTGAACCTCATCATCGTCTTTGTCTGGCGTCTGGGTATACTGTGTGACACGAATGTATATGGGGAGGAGGCAATGACCATCAACAGCACGGTGAGACAAACTGAAGATCGACGACCGACAAACATTCTAAGAGTTGTCCGTAGGCTAGCAAGTACAATCTCGCGGCAATGCGTATGAGCCGAAAGGCTTGCCTCCGAACAGCATGTGCTGGCTTGCGACATAGAAGTATCACAGTGTCGCAACCGAGAGTCTTGCCTCGTCGCTATGTGCAGGCTCCTGACTCTGCGGACTCTGACTGTCGTTGCCCGTCAAACCTGCCAATAGAGCTTACTGGCCTGCACTTCAGCGACCATCGCGCCTACAGTGTGGCTGTATCCGACAGGCTGTGTGTTCAAGTTTGCAAATGTAGCGTTACACTCGACTGTGATGCAAGGTGGCTGTGTGCACATTCTGAGTACAACTATACGGACTATACGTGGGCTATGAGGGTGTATGACTGGGTCAGATCCTTCACCGTGTCTGGCATGTTCGAAGCTTCAGCTGGTTCAACAGCAACGACAGTCACTGGACACATCATTTTTGCATGTGCAGTGTCTGTTCCGAGACACTGAAAGTTCTCACAGGCTCATAACGAAGGTAGGATCAGCAACGACAACGCATCTTCAAACCACTACGAAGAGTCGGACACTGGCGCCAGTTGATTTTGCCAGCTTTTCACAATCTCAGCTGAGCTGGCTGGGCAGGCTCGCCCTGCCTGCATCTTGTCAATGCATCGCACTCCCACCGGCACGAGGCTTGCAAAGCACAGCCTTCGACCATCAACCGCATCACACCTGGCGAGCATGCTGCCTGATTCTGGTACGACCATTCCTCCTTGCGGCTTGGAAGCCTTTGCGCGTTTGGCTGCAGGCTCTGCAACCTCCACTTTGCCAAAATCTGCAATTGTGTCATGAGTGTCATGGTGTGGAGCAATGCTTACTCTCCCCAGTCGGCCTCGCTCAAGGCTTCCCGCAGCGCCGTGCAAAACTTGTGCACGTCATGGAAAGAACTGGCACATAGTGTTGTTACATGACACCTAGCGCTTTACCAGGGCTTCAAGTGCTTTCCGGTGCTGTCGAAAGCTTGCCAGCAGCACTTGTAGAGAGGAGCGGGTGCTACACGAATAACATTGGGCTTCCTGTGGTCGACCACCTTGGTATATCAAAGCCCTTCTGCTACTGCGAGACGCTGACGGGGCTATTCCGCGCATGCTGTGATTGACGTCCTCGGGTCGTTGCTATTCCACGCCTCTCCAGGGCGGTGAAGGTTGCCAGGCACGATCGTTCCTTTCAGGAGGATCGGAGCAGCAGTGTCACCCAACAAACTCCAGTCGAGTCTTTTGCAGCCAGGAGTGAATGTCGCAAGCCTCGCTGAACTTCAGGCTTAGCTGACATCCGCGCGAGGAGGGACATTCCGGAGTAATCACCTGCTGTGTCCCGTGGTGACGCGAATCTGTGAGAAGCACTGCTCTTTGGCTTTGGCAAAGTGGCTGACCCTGTGCAGCGTAAGCCCGGCCAAATCCGGCCAAGCAGCAGAGAGTTGATCCCCGACAAGATCAGCGATGAGCAGTTCCAGGTATGCTGTCAACAGCATTGACCTACGAGCTGGCTAAAACCTAAGGGGTGTGTGTAGGATGACTGTATGTATGAGTCGCGATGCCTCAGCAACATACGAGCTTCCCTTCTCATGTTTATAGATGCTAAACTGCCGGCGTTGGGCATCACTAGTGCGCAAGCCCCTGTGTTCTCAGGGATGCCAGCATTGAGTTCGAAACCCTCAGCAAGCTTGCTTCAAAGTTGGCAGCACCAAGTTTGTCAGCAAGCCTGCTACTAGTACCGATTTAATGTTGCGAGCTTGCGTCTTCTTCATGCATCGATCCCAGGGTTTGACTGAAAATCCTCAGCTACCGCCGCTACCTCAAGAACATGCACTGCACGACTGCACGCTGTGTCCGGCCTGCCGCGGAGCTCTGACATTGTCGTCCTGCAAGAGATGCGTAGGGTAGTCGAGACTACTTCAGCACTTGTACGCGTCTTTTCAAGCGGCTTGCGCCTCGAAAAAATTTCCAAACTCGCAAGCAACGAGACGGTCTGCAGAACAGGCGGATTGGACAACCGCCAAGCTCCAGCGTCGACCTGCCGTGCCGGTGCCCAAAGGGCAGGTCATTACACATGGTCATCTTTAGTCTCCACGGCCGCATGTAATATGACGTGCGCGCGTGCTCGCCTCAGGGTCCCAGCTGTGTTCCATGTTGAAGCGAACAGCCTGCTTCTGGCCTCAGAAACGGATCGGCGAGCACAGCTTGGCCATGAAGGATTTCGGCCCAGACCCCACCACCCAGCTAAAAGGGGAAGTCCTGGCGACGAACAGGAATCTGCCGCCGGCAATGATCTTCACCGTGTCCTTTGTTGAGATGTTTTCTGTGCACGAAGAAGCCACCGATTGCACCAGGGCCGGCATTGAGGTACTTGTAGTTGCACCTGCAAGGCTACCAGCAGTTTGGACCGACAGCCAAGACTGTGCTTGAGAAAAGCACCAGCAGGCTCCGTCCACGCCCCATTCGTGCAAACTCAAATCCTCGGCGGATTGCGACGAACTCTTATCCTTCACGATTGCTTGCCCACCTATGCTTTCTCAAGGCTTTTCTCTCCTGTGCGACGACGGCATTTGAATGGACATCGGGTTCTCAGCCGAGTTTCCGTTCTTCTGGATTCCTAGTCTTATGTATATGCTCCGGCAGCCCGGCCCAGTTTAAAGTCGCGGTTCAAAGGCGGGTCCTGCCGGCGCGAGTTCGGTGTCCCTGCGACATTGTTTTGCAGCTACTTGTAGGAAGCTGGACAGCGCCACAGTCAGGAAGCTCAATCCAAAAACTCATTTTTTGGAATCATAAAAAAAATTTGCCGTCTCGACGGAACTAACCCATGGAGCTCCAGTCAAACGGCCATCCCCAGGCAAGTCACGTGCGACACGAGCTCCCAGCACAACCAGCACGCCTCATGTGTTGGATGAGAATGAGCTCTGGCCTTCGGGTGCTTCGCGTTCCACCCTGTGGTCGGAAATTGGCTTCCCTCTGTGTTCATACTTTGCGCCACTCCTGCATCAGCAATTGATGTTTCGCGCAAAGCCTTCCTTCCCTGTGCTAGACAAACATCCGCTTCTGCTGGATGTTTCGCAAGCAAACTGGATTCGCATCGTACGCCGACAGTAACTGTGCAACAAAGGAATGGCTTCAAAGGCTTCAGCATGCTTGAACTTATACATTCTTGAAAACGCTGCATGACGCGGGATGTCATAAGTTGGAAACTTCTTTGGGTCGCAATTTGCACGGCCAGCTGTCGGTGCTCTTCACCGGCAAACACTGATGTTTATTGTCTGCTTTCGAACTTCAACATCCTCAAACTGCTTTCAGTCTTGCATGGCTTGATCCTGAGCCCGCGTCTACATTTCCCACAGCATGGGCACAATCCCAGATCGCCTCAACTGCGCGTGGCTTTTCAACTCTACCGACAGTGATAGAGGCGAACTCCCAGGGGCGAACCATTGCTCCCACAGCATGGGCAGCCTCTGTGATGGCCTTAACATCAAAATATTGGCCAGTGTAGTACCTGTCTCCATGCAGAACGTCAGGTCCGGCTTGTCAAACGAAGCATGGGAGCACTGCACGGTACCCAAACAAACAACTGCAAGGCTTTCTCCCGCCGCCTGAAAGGAGCAGCACACACAGTCCACGGGCGGTTGGATTTTGCATTGGGGCATAAGCTTGGATTGCGCTGACAATGTCCTCGGTGCGGAGCAGCTCTTCGCCAGGGCGAGCCTCAAAGACAAAAAGAAGCAAGTCCTCTGCTTCCTATGCCTATTCAAAAGGCTCTCAAGGATCTCTGCGGTCGCCCTCCGCCGCTGCCGAATTCTCTCGCAACCAAGAAGCGTTCAGCGGCAGGAGCACTTTCGTCGGATCTAGTCCGTGCAACCGCGCCTGTAGGAAAACAGTCTCAACTGATTGCCGCCACGCGGGCTACGGACCAGTGATGACCAGCGCTCGCACCCAGCTCCTAATCTCGGGCCTGCCTGCGATTCGAAAGCAAAATAGTCCGATCCGAAAGCGCTGGCCTGTGCGGTGATCCGGTAGCGCCTTGAGCTGACTGGGAATATCCTGGCCTCGTACATTATTCTGTTCCGACTCCCTTCTGGTCGATAGAAGGATACCTGACCATGAAGCATTCCAGGATTGATATACTTCGTTTCGAAAACGGCGAGTGTCCATGCCAAGCTGCAAAAAGCAAATGCAAGTTCACTGTGAGGCTGTTCATAATGGCTACCTGCAGCAATTGGAGAATATTTGAAGCAAAGCACGTTTTTCCTACCGCTTGCCTCATCTTTTTCTGCTCCGACAATGGCCGCGCTCTGCCTAGCAAGACACGAGACATGCGTGGACATGCATCCGGACAACAACCTGGCTCGCAAAAACCAACGTCGCTTTGCTGAACTTTTGGGGTCAGCACTGGATGACATTTTCGTCTATGGGCATCCACGGCCGGTCCCTGCCATTGCAAACTTTGCTTTATCCCTTTATCGACTGATCATTCCTGAGAGCTGCACCCGGTGAAATGGCCATTAACACCCCATTTTGCCCACTTGTCCAGCTCCTGTATTACGTGGCACGCAGCAAATCCTAGATCTGTTTGGAAATCTCACAGCATCCTCCGAAACCAGCACTCTGGTTCGGGATGGCTGCAGTCCGAGCGAATTCCTGGCATGTCTCCATGTGGAAAACAAATGAGCCATGACGGCATGCTGGGCACTAAGAAATCACGACAGCAGGGCCCGACAAGATAAACGCACTCTTCATCGACACGCACCAGTGCCGGATCGATTCCTGGCAAGCCTCCCTTTGAAGGCACCTCAAGCAGGGGCGGCAGCAATCGAATCACAAGTGTATCCAGCGGGCACCGAGACAGGAGCCAGGAATGCAGCACGCTGAAAAGACGGTAGGTCTTGGAGCTTCTTGTCCAGGAACTTTGCTACCTGGACATCTGTTGTTGGCGGCAGCTACGACGGTGCTTTGACTTGATGCGCACTTGCAGTTGAATAGAAATTAACATTATAACTCAGCTTCGCACCTCCACGGCCGAAACTGATGCACCAAGGGCCTGATCACAAGTGGCGAGAGGTACAAGTCAGTCGATGACTGTGCAAACTTGCCTGCGCAGCATTTTGCAGATCTGATTTCGCTCCGCGGCCATGGTTCGTCGCTAATGATGTCAACCATGCCTTCGCGCTGCAGGTTTCCAGTATTCAGCATGTTCAGCTACTGCAACGCACAAATGGGAGCGGCACGGAATCTAAACTGCCGCCTCCAAGGAGACTCCAAGCATGACCACAACATCATTCGTTCAATTCGAACCCACCTGGTGTCAGCGCGTGGTGATCGATGGCGGAGCCATTGCGTTTTGCATTAGGCATGGTGTGGCTTGTGAATGTTTGTTGCTAACTATGATGAGAATGGTCTACTGATGGGGCAGTGTCATGGCCAAGGCTTTTTCTGGTTCGACCTGCCCCCCCTCTTCTGGGAACACAAGGTGCAGTCTGCAAGGGCCGGTCTCAAGCGCCTGTCGGCCTGTTCTGGTACTTGCAGCAAGGAAGGATCTGCGCAAACCACTTAGTCCTGCTTGTCGTTTCTTGCAGTGCCCAACATATGCCTTGAGCTCTTGGGCTGCAAACATCCGACGCGACATGACATGTCAGCCTCGTACGTGGATGCAGGAAGCGTGACGCTGACGTGACAAACAGTGTCCCTTTTGGGCTGGTTTAGCCCGGGCGCATGCTGGATGTACTATCAAGCATACCCTTGCTATGCACATACGCCTCCTGTCTGCTTGGCAGGCACAGGAGCACATGCAAAGAGGATCCAGAATTCACATGCGCAATGGGTTGCAAGCAGCACAATGTAATGCAAGAAGTCCCTGCCATTTGCGTGCCATCTTACTGTAGAGCTGTGCATACTGTTGTGACCTGTCATGGCTGGCCCAGCAAGATACCCAAGCTTCATTGACCAATGTCGACATGACGAGAAGCCAGGAAACACCTGAATCGTTCAGGCGAAACAAGCCGAATCCAAATACCACCAAATGCTGCAGATCCTGAGCTGGCGACAATAGAATCACGAGAGATCCGAGCTTGACTTGACCAGCAGACCCTTCGTCTGTGCCTCAGGCAGAATTGCAACACCATAACGGCACTGTTATCTACAAGCATGCAGCTTCGGAATCAGAGTTGACAGGAAGGCAAGGCAGCAAATGGGGTCGTGTTCAAAGATGTCGACGGCCTCCCCTTCGAGTTTTCATGATTTTCCTTACGCAACCCCCTGGAGGGAAGCAAGGACTCCCCTCACAGGGCCCGGATCCAAGAGTAAAACCACCGACTTGTCCGATCCGAAGGACGACTGGGTTTTCATGCGAGGGGGGGCCCGGAAAAACATGGTCTCCTGGAGGAGCCCATGGCTCCAGCTTGTCGGGACACCCCCTACCCATCCCTACCCTCAAAACAAGGGGTCTTCGCATTGGCCAACTCATGACGTCTTTGTTTATAAGTATGGAAGTAACACACCAGCAATACAAATCACCTCTATTGGTTCCGTGAAAAGGCGAATGTTGGCTCGCGAAAACAAGTTCAGCTTGGGTTACTTTATGGGTCATAGTGGGAGTGGCTGCTGCAACACCGGGCAACTTCTACCGTTCCATCATCTTCCATCCCATCCCCTATGCCTGTTCTCAGCCTTGACCTAATTGAAGAGCCTCTCTGTCCGATTGCGTCCGAATCCAAACTCGCGCTTGACCAGTCCCTGGTGGCTGAAATCACTGGGCAACCTGGCGCAATGGAAGCAGCTCGACCAGTCCAAAGCCTTCCAGAGTACCTCAGTAGATGTACACAGAGTTCAGTCATGTGGATCACGCAAACCCCGCTCATGATTGCAAGTTGTTTTATAGGACGCTCTGCAATGATGCGGGTCACGGTTCGCATCAACGATCTTTTCCCCCTCCTCATTCCGCACGCGTGTGATGAAGCTCCATGTTGTTGAGTTGGGTACATACCTGGAGAGAGAGTAGGTTCTTGCTGCAAACTTCGAAACAACATGCCCCCAAGAGCCCCGCCCTGGATTGCTGACATCAACCTCAAGCGTGTAGTTGTTCCGCAGCAGACCTCATGCCAAGCACGAATTTCACCCACATTCACCCACACCCACCCCGTCTCTTGATGCTACATGATGCTACATGTGCCAAGCAGAGTTCGCAGCCTGCGCCATCTGGAAATCGGACACTGACCGTGGCATTGTCGTATCCCCTGCAGGTCATGCCTGCGCACGCTGTCGGATATACATGCGGTGCTCAAACCTCGGCCAAGCCTTCCGGAGGGAAAACGAAGCCGATGTCATAGCCGCGGTTGGTTGTTGGCTGTTCCACGGCGTTGCCTTGCAGCCGATGCATACATACAGAGCTGTAGATGTTAGTGTCGGACATGGATGGCAAAGGCCCGGACTAAGCCGCAACCGAAATCCTTCCGTGCAGTTTGTCGGGAAGATGAAGCCGTCTGGGCCTGACAGCACCTGGGACACATGTGTGGTGGACAGGACGCTACGACGTGCTCGGAACAGTTTGTGGAGGGCATGGAATCTACACAAACAGAGCAGCGTCCGGCTTGGGATGATGTGGTGCTAGTTGGCATGCTACCCAGAGTTTTAGAGCTCCCGTAGGGACACACGGAAGGGATTCATCGGCCGTCGTCGACAGCACTGCTAACGTATTGCGAGCCCTGCAATTGCGCAATCATGGTTCCTGCAGATGACTCCCGTTGGAAAGCTTTCAATCCAAAATATCTTGGTCAACAGATGTGTGCTGATTTGCATAGAATGGAGAGCTTCTCACTTCGGAAAGCGCAAATGCTAGTCCGTCGGCTATGTGTAGAGGTACCTTTTCCATCCACCGGCCTGTGCACGACTAGGAGTTTGTACGGGGCATCTGCAGTGATCAGCTGATGCACGGATACCGTCTGGCCAAGAGCTGCCTCTGGCAACCCCAGGGCAGCCGCCAAGCCCCTTCGTCTCTGTTCGTGCAAATGGATGTGGACGCGTGGGTGCGTCGTGCTTCGGGCATCAAGGGCACCAGGCCCCATACACAGAGTTTCCGCAGCTGGTATTGAGGCTTCCAAAGTCTTCTCGTCACACTCCCACTCAGGATGTTCTTCACAAAGATGGCGGACAAACGAGTTCCTGACAGCACAGTTGTCCAAGCGGCCTGGATCCACACAATAAAAGCTCCCACCCGGAGCCAGGTGGTTCTGCAAAGTCAGTACCAACGAGGGAAAGGAACTCCGATCGTAGAGTATGTCGGCCCCGAGGATCACATCAAAGACCGGGGCTTCACCTGCAACACAAGCCACACTTTCTTCCCCTCCATCCGTCCCATGTCAATTGCAACATTGCGACGCAGCATCGGGCCTTCTGTCGGTTGCGCAACAGCCCAATCCAGTGGACATGCCCGCAGTGGGAGTTCGTGCTCCCGATGTGCAACAATGTTCAGCTGAATGTTCCGCTGCAGCCTATCCAGAACAGGCCCCGGACGATCAGAAACAACAACCTGATCGCCAATGACCAGGGCATATGCGCGGGCATGCACACTCATGTATTTGGGTGCTCACTTCCTTACTTACCCACTGACATTTCTATGCATGCATCCATCCTGTGCCTAGAATTCTAAAGGCTAGACAGTGTCATCGGATGATCGATCACTCGAGATCATCAACCAAACGGGACCCCCACTGCTGAAGGCTAGTCTGATTGACCGGTTGTTGCTTCTACTGTCGTACCTCTTTTTAACGAGGTCCACATTGTCGCCTCGTGGGCTCCAAGCGTCGCAGCCACCAGCCCCCCGGTGCCGAGGCCGCTTCCCAGCTCCAGCACACGCCGCGCTCTGACGGATCCTGAAGACACCAGCCAGGCCGCCAAGACCTTGGGGACTCAAGGGCAATGAGTCTCAACAGTGCATTGCATGGCATTGCTCAGGTGTCGCGGCGAAAACTAAACTCCGGACAAGCCCAGAGCCCCACAGCAGCTCTCCCTGCAACCATGCTTGAGAGAGGTTCTGCCGCTTGCTCCCGCGCAGCCCTCTGGGCAAAGTCGCATCTTCTGCTTTCCTCCGTCGTTCTTCGGAACCAGTCAGTTGCAGCAGGCAAGATGTCGACATACCTCGGAAACAGCACACAGTTTTTTCAGTTGCTGGGGTGGTAGCATGTGAGCTGGCGCATATGCACGAGTGTATGCGCGCGTGTCCAGGCACGGTGTGATTTGTGCTTGCACCTTGCCCAGTGACCGGGCAAGTACAACTTGATCAGGCTGCTGGCTTCGACATCGTTCCGGTGCTCCTGCGAGTTTGTGTCTGAGCCACGCTGTTCCGCCACCCGCGGCCTCACGTATGTGCCAGGTGACAGAGCCAGCTCCAAGCATGCTGCTTCCAGTAGGCTAGGCATAGCTGCGTGCATACATGCTAAACGACCGTCATAGACCCCTTTTGGGCGACCTGAGCCAGAAGACAGAGGCAGCAACATCTGCACGGGAGCCTGAGGCCCTTGGCATGGGGCGTGCGAGGAAAACATGGTTTTGGATCTGGAGCCGAGGCACAAGTTCGTTTCCGATGTCTGCCTGGTTAAGGATGGTGGATTGTCTGAAGACCTCGAGTGGCGATGCGGCACACAAATGTGCTAGTGCACCTGGCGGATGAGGTCTGCCAAGCCCGTGGCAATGCGGAGCGGATTTATTTGCCCGAAGTAGTTGAAAGTTGCTTGAATGTCAACCTGGCCGCGGCACGGGGAAAGGTCAACAAAGGCCGGAGTTCCGTTCTGATAGGCCTCAATGCGACCAGTGATGTCAAAGCTCCACACGAAGTCGCGCATGTCGATCACGTCGGCAAGCGGGCCTCAATGATACACTGTCAGTCAAGGTGGGCTGCAAGCCGCAGCCAAGTCCTCGCGTACCCCCCTTGTGAGCGAGTGTGCTAGAAACTGGGGTCACGGCTGATGATGCGGAAATTGAAGTAGTTCTGCTGTGGGGTGAACTCTGGATTCGACCTGGGTGTCATCACAAGGCGTACAAAGAGACACACACACACACGCACACATACACACACACACACAGACACAGACACGGACACAGACACACACACACACACACGCACACACACAGACACACACAGACACACACAGACACACACACACACACACACACATGCGCACACCCACACACACACCCGCACGCGCGCGCGCGCACACACCTGCATGGTTATGTCGGAGTAGTTGACAATCGGTGGAGC